GTCGGTAACCACAGGATGATTTTCCCTCTTCTGTTTGAACACAAAGCAGATTTCAATTGGCTTTGACTCCTTCCCCAAATTAAGGCTATTGCTACTGGTCTATAGAATTTTCTGAAGGCAAACATCCAGCAAAATTTGACTTTTAAGACCTTTCACCAAAAAAAAAAGAAGACCTCCCACAGTAAGCCTCCCTTTTTAAGTGACTTATACTCATGACCAGTAAAAGAACTAAATGCATAGTAGCATAGTAACCGTTCCTGAACCACCATTCTTTTATTCTAACCAGTAGAAAAATTTAGTGCTTATCAGCCCCACATTTTCATCTTTTCCACACCACATTTTCATCTTTTCCTGTTTCCATTTGGCTGAACCGTTAAACACCAAGGCTTAATAACAGCACCCTGCTAACAAGAACCCCAGCCTCGTGCAGCAGGTGTTGCCCACCTCTGCCTACAGAATTGCAGCCCAAACAATCTGCTCAGAACTGCTGAGAAATCAGTAGAATGTGCTTCTGACTCAGCCTGTTAAGTAGGAGGACTGTTATTGTTATTTTAACTCCTGCTGGAGTATGTGGGCAATTCTCCCTCTTTCCGTCTCTAGTTAACCATGAGACATCCCTCTTCGAAATCACACCCCTGGAATAGGTTCTTGCTCACTAAGGGCCAGAACCGTTTGGGGTCTGGGTCTGACTGCTAGCTGATAGAACCAATGAGGATAGGCTTTCATAATGAAAGCCTAGCTGATATCCTAATTGACCAATAGAATTCATCGTGAGGATGTGAATTCAGCCTTTAAAATTATTCACATAGAATGCCATAGACCAGAGCTGAATCCTGATGAGATAGTAATCAGTAAGTCACAGTGCTTATTTTCAGAGAGGATGGTGAAAATAGCAGGTTTTCTTTTTCCTTTCCTCAACTGTTGGGGTGTTGTGCTCCTACTGTTAGTCTTTCTCTTGCTAAATGTCCTCAGCAGTGCCAATACTCATCAAGTGTTGGCTACTCCTAAGAAATATTGTAGGGGCCGGCCGAGTGGCTCAGTTGGTTAAGACCTCGCTCAAGAGTTTGAGCTCTGAGCAACAGCGGTTTGAGTCCAGCCCGAGCTGAGCAGCCGCTGAGCTGCCAACAGGTAGCAGGATGGCTCAGCTAAAAAAAAAAAAAAACAGAAATATTGTAAAAATAAAGCAAACAAAATCAGCCTATTTTACAGAAAATTGTGTTGAGGGTTCAACTTCACCCTTTTGTGAATAATGAAAAGAAATAAATCTCTTATGAAGATAAAGCAAAATCTAAGCAATGCCACATCATGGCAAACATTATTATTTAGATAAAAGACTGCATGGACTAATAAAATAAATATTGTCTGCTCTTCTAAAATGTTTTTCTCATTTCCACTTCGCTAACTTGTCCCTAATTTATCTTTGTGTTTTTGGTACTATAAATTAAGATTCAAGATTAGGCATCAGTAGGATAAAGTTTTGTCATGATGCTGATGTGTCACGTGTCAAAAGCATCCAGGAAAGCTCTTTAGCATTTCAGAAGTGGTACATTCTATTAAGACAAACTGAAGGAATCTTTAAAAGGGCAACAACTATCACTGATGTGCATTATGGACAATTGTGTGTGCTGGGCATCATTCCATAGAAACCCCTGCATACCTATTCAGTCCTTAACAAGCGAGTGCCCGCCAAGATAAAGAGACTGCTCTAGACACAGCTCAGACCATCACACAATCTCTGCTCTCAGTGGTAGGAGAGGATGCTGAGATGATGTCAGGGAGGTAGAAAATGCTGGTTTATACAGCACCTTGCTGGCCACGGGAGGAGTATGGGCTTTATTCTGACTGTTAGGGGCCATCACTGGTGAATTTTGAACAAGAGAGTCATATCAATTGATTAAGATTTATAAGAGATCACACTATGTGAACAAGAGACTACAGATGGTAAGATTGAGGAGGCTACTGCAGTAATCAAGGTGAGAGAGTGGATTCCAAGGATACAGGTAGAAATAAGGAGAAATTACCCGATTCTGGACAGGCATGAGTTTGGTACTATTATCTGCTATGAGGCTTAAGAAGTTAATGTTCTAATTGGTGATGGAGGCCTGGGAAGAAACCAATTGTCAGGGCTGTTTACTACTCCGTAATGTTTACATGGGGCTTTTGTGTCAAAGAGGTGCAGGTATTATATGAAGATTCCAACTTTAGAGAGCTATATCAACCTTTGCATTTAGAATCACATGTATTAGGTTTGAGATTTTCAATTGTAAATTTTACAGAATAATTAGTAATATTAGCAAATGATTACAAAGACTTTGTCATTTACAAAGCATTTTCACTCCTATTATCTCATTCAATTTAATAAAATCGGCATGGTTAAATAATTGCAAAGGTAATTACTTGGTAAACAATGTCAAAATAAAGCAAAATAGAGTGAACTAATTAAATATTCACATTTATGGTATCACTGAATGAATCTTTGTTGTTCTCAATAGCCTGTTTTCTCGCTCTGGGTAGATACTGTGTCTTCATTGGTTTTCTAATATTAGCCCCCCCCTTCAACTCACACGAAAGGATTCAAATAAACATTGGAGGAATGAATTAAACTGCTATTTATGTGTCAAATAGGTTAGGTTTCCACAATTCTTTTCCTGGTAGGCAGGATAGCTTTCAAGTCTCAGAGCGATGAGTTTCAATCCAGGCTCTGCAATCATAAGTTGCATAAGTTGCATGACATATTGGGCCTGAATTTCCTCATATGCAAAATTGCAATGCATTGCTGACCTATGAGGTTTACATACAATCTTGCATTTACTCATATTTGTCCAGCAAAGGTTAGTTTATCTCTTCTTTCTCCCCCAACTCTGCCAGGGTAGTAATTTATTCCCTTCAGAAAATGACAGTTATGAAAGATGTTGTCTACAAATCTTACTACTGCTTATCGACATTTTTTTAACCTTTAAACAAATGGTAGAATTAGCTGTTAGAGAAAATTAGAAACAAAAATCCTTTCTTTTAAAAAGTATCTCTCATGATTTTTAAATGGAAAATGAGCAATTAACATTGGGAAAATAAGACTGTTTTTCTTTTAAGTATCTTTTAATTTTGAAGGTAGTTATTTACGTTGTATTTGGGAATAGTCAGTATTTCATCTATGGGGAAATAAAACAGATTTCAATTATTGTATTATGGCAAAAGCGGTGAATCATGAGTTCCATTAGTTAGCAAGATCCTTACAGCCAATAAAAAAAGTACTTTTTCTAATTAGAAAAAATGAAACATAAACACGATTCACATGATATTACATATTAAGAACTTTGAATTTCTTATACACGAATCCTAAAAATGCTTTGATAGCCACGCTTAAAAGATTTTAGCAAACCTTCAACATGCTGAAAGTTATTCAGAATAAATATTAAATAAAACTAAGCACCAGATGATTGAAACATTAAAATGAGTCAACTCTATGACACTTAGAATGAGTAAACCAGATCCTCTAGTATCAATATGGATGGGGCTCAACTATAGTGTTAGCTAAAGGCAAGCTGCAAAAGAATATCTAATATATATATTTATATATATATACTATTTATATATATATATATATATATATATATATATATATATATATTTATATAAACTTTTAAAATGTAAATAATTATATGGTATATTGTTTCACACAGATGTCATTAAAATATTAGAACACACACAGGAGGGGTTCTATATCCACTGTCAGGATTGTGACACCTTCTAGGAAGAAAGGAAAGGGAGCAGGCAGGGTGGGTTTTGCTCTTTCTGTGATGGTTTATTTCCTTAGAGAAGATCTGAACACCACACATGGTGATCACGCTGTAAGGTATATAAATATCTAATCACTATGTTGTATACCTAAAACTAGCATAATGTTGTATGTGAACTATAATTAAAAAATAAATTTAAAAAAAGATTCGAACTAAGCTGAATGTTTGCACTGGTTTAATCCATACAGTTGACACTTAGGGTTTTACTATAAATTTTTTATATTTCTCTTTGAAAATGTTGTAACTTTTCCTGATTAAAATAAAATAATAAAGAAATAAAACAGTAAAGCATACATTTCTGTGGTCAATTTAAGATTGGATATTCCATACGTCTAATAAAAAGAAATTAAATTAAAATGCATTCTTCATTTCCTAGAATAAGAAATCAATCATTTGTATTCTTTCTGTAATATTACTCTGCTTATATTATTTTAGGAATTTCAAATTTAAATAAAGATATAAAATAAAGGAAAATATTATCTCTGTTTGCAAACTGAGCTAAGTATGTACATTCCTTTATTTACTCATGCAACAATCATAAAGTAACATATACAAACATAAAATAAATGTTTGCCTACTATGGTTCTTTCAGTAAATGTATTACATATTTTTTTCTTCCTTAAATTCAGATGGAACCAACTCAAAACATAGGTGACTCTGATTACCAGACATTTCTACCACAACATGAAACCACTCCCGCAGTAAGAGCGTGGTCTGGCATTCTTTCCAGTGTCTGTAGCTCCCAGACCCATGTATATAGCCTTGAGTGAACTGCTGCATCTACCTGCCTCCTCCCTTGCTGCCTCATGTCCCTAATCTGTAAAATGGGGATGATCCCTGTATCTACTCATAGGGTTGCTGTAAGGAGTAAACAGTCGAATTTATGCAAAGTAAGTCATGTAGGTTCAAGTCTGGCACATAGTAAATGTTGAGAAAATACTATTGGTGTTAGCAGGGGTTACAGGCTTCGTTCAATCCTCATCTCAGAAAAAAAGATCTTTTCATTTGTTTACCATTAAATCATTTAAAGTATTAAGTGCTATTTTAATAATCCTAACTCTAGGATCTCTAGAATTCTTGTGTATTTCTCCCTTATCAAAAGGAATTGATATTTATTTAATAAAGTTGTTTTTTTTTTAAAATATGGTTAACAGTTATTTTTCATCACTGTGGGCAACTCTTTCATTGTAGAGAGGATAGGGGCTTACCGGTTCAAGGAAGCAGTAAAACGGCAAAGTTTGTTTTGTTATGTTCTCAAAGGGTTGATAATCGTTTCTGGCTTCTTTCTGTAAAAAAAGAAAAGTCGAGAACCATATGATTTCATTCACATGTGGGATAAACTGAAAGCAACAAGCAAACAAGAGAAACAAGCAAACAAAAACTCACAGACACAGACAATAGTTTAGTGGTTACCAGGGCGGAGGAGGGAGGTAGAAGAGCATAAATGGGTCGAATCCAATACATAGATGATGTATTATAGAAATGTACAGGTGAAACCTATGTAATTTTACTAACCAAAGTCTCCCCAATAAATTTATGAAATTTTAAAAAAAATTTAGGAAATTAATAATTTAATCTTTGATCCATGTACATTAATTACATCGTGTAAATCAATACCAAATTCAACTTGTGTCTGTCTCTGTTTATGCTGGGTCGCTATGAGACCATGTGATGAATTTCATGGTGGTTCCTTTAGTCATATATTGAGTCTTTACAACCGGCTGGGCATTGTTTCAGGTGTTGGGAATAGAGCACCGAAAATGCTAATCGTTGCAGATGTCATCTCACCTTTTAGCTTCACTCCAGTGAAGAAGCTACTTAAGTATTACATCCAAAGGAAAATAAAATTTTAAATTGTTTAAATTATTTTCAGCTAATAAACAGCAGGCATTTGTAGAATATATTCATCCTGGTAAACTGTAATTATATCCAGTAAGCTTTAAAGGATTGCACCTCTAGCCCAGTTTGCATTGATTCTCCCCAGCACAGGTTGGAGAGGACTTTTTTTTTTTAATGACTAATTAAATTTTCTATGTAGGTGCTAAACTTATTTTGACACTCAGGATCCTAAAAGTCATTCTGGATTAGTACTCCTGCTTAGAAACCACACTAGAACAACACAGAAGACGTCTTACTAATATGGTACCTAGAAATAAAGACAATTACTAGAAGGCACTAGGCTTGTGTTGTATTTCAGAAGCCATGCAGGTGGAATCACCTTCATCTACATAAAAGACTGCAAAGAGAGATCCATACATAAGTAATTGTGCTTAAATGCAAGAGGCAGAGCTCAGAGGCCTGTGCTGTAGTCGTGGGGTCTTACAAAGGGGTTTAAATCTATGTATCTCAATGTGTTTTCACCAGGGCCTGTGTGATTTCACCCCTGGTAACGTGGACTCCATCATATTCTCAAGGAAGCTGTTGCTTTACAAGAAGAAGCCTTAAGACTCAAACTGGGATAGCTATCAGCTCTTCTTCAAGTCCCAGTAGGAAATGTAAACTTGGAAAAAACTGAGCAGGGGCTCAGTTCTTTTCTATGACCTTTCAGAGAACAACCCGTATGTGGACAGCTGACAAGGGTTTGATTTAAAAAAGACAGACACTGACTGGGTCAGGTCCTGTATTAAGTGCTTTTACATGTGTTAGCTCACGTAACCTGGGAGCATTCACACACAATGTGCAGCAGAGAATACGTCTGTTAATGCATAGTGAACCGGTTTTTAAAATAAAGAATATTCTGTCGGTAAGAATAAACACAGTAGAATTCTCCATTCCCTCAAATAATTTGATAGTTATTTTAGGAGAATCATTCGACTGCCCAGACCTCTGAACACCATTTTTCCCCTCTTTAGTCTAGCTCAATAATTCCCAAATTTGGAATATGTTTATATATGATACTATGTACTTATAGATTTATATATGGCATATATTTACATATGACACATATATTGATATATAACATTATGATAACTTAAGACTACATAAAGAATTTTATGGGCAGTCTTAACTAAAAGCAAATTAAACCTCATAGGTGGATTTGAAAACAAAAATAAAATGGTAGACCAGCTCTGGACCTTGTCCTAATAAAAGGAGTCAATGAAAGCTGTATAAAATATTCTTTCTTTCCTGTTTAAATTCCTTATTGTCCATAAATTCTTTAATGTGAATTTTTTTGCACTTCATCTTCACGATTTTCAAGTACACATGTACCCATGTGTATAAGTGTGCAGATTATATATGTGTGTGTATATCATTTACCCTGGTAAAAGTAAGGAAAAAAAAGTTATTCTGTAAAACAGGGTCAGCAAACAATGGGCCATAAACTAGGTCCACCCTAGCGTGGCCTGTTTTTCTAAATCCAATGTTACTGGCACACAAACCATGTCCATTCATTCATTCCTGTGTTGTCTGTGGCTGCCAGAGCAGAGGACCTGTAACAGACTGTATGGACCTTTTCATATTTATATGTGACCCCAAATATTTACCATCTGGCCCTTTACAGAAAACATTCACTACCACCTATTATCAAAGAGCAGGTTCATCATTTGAGCAACACTAAAAACAATATTAAAAAAAAATAACATCCTTTTTTCAGTCTTTCCAAAATTAACTCAGTAGTTATATATGAATGAGAGTAAAATTTCAGCCCTAAACACTTAAAGGCTAATTTCATTCCTACAGAATTTAGAAATTATTGGCCAAAGAATAAGATGATTATTAGAAAATTGACAGTACCCAGTACCTATTAGTCACAAAAATCATGCTCCCCATTTAGCCAACATCCTGGCTTTTTTGTGTTTTTTTTTGTTGTTGTTGTTGTTGTTATAAAATTAAAATGAGTATCTTTTTTTTCTAGACTTTATTTTGTGAGGAAGAGATAAATGCCATGTGGGATTTAGTTTTGTTTTTTTTTAAAGATTTTTATTGGGGAATTGGGGGGATGGGAACAGTGCTGGGGAATTGGGGAAAGGGGAACAGACAAGTTTCTGTCATTTTTGTTCTTCAGTCTAGTTGTGGAGGACGTTGCTTCACTGGCCCAAGTTGGCACCAACATTGTGCTCCCTGGTGAGGCAGATCAGTCGCTGGCTTCTGGACGGCCGCTCACTGCGGCTGCTGGCCGCTCACGCTGGCTGCTGGCTACACACGGTAGCCCATGGCAACCCACTGCCACAGGGGCTGCAGCCTACGCCGTCGCCGGCGACTCATGGCAACCCAGCTCCAGGTTGAGCTGTTGTTCAGCATCTTAGCTGTAGAGGGCAGTGTCACTGGCCCTCATATGTGGGATCCGAACCGGGGCCCTCTGGCATCCCAAGCGAGTTCTTAACCATCGCGCCACTCGGCCGGCCCGGGATTTAGTTTTTAAAAGCAACTTATGGCCTATTCTAAAGGCACATAAAATTCAATAGTCATTTTAAATTAACACAGTGCAGTTAGAAGTGATAATTTTTATTCCATAAAGAAAGGATTCAATTACCTTCACACAGTTTTTGCTAAGAGTATTACTTGGCACAGTTTTAGTATTTGATACATTATATAGAGTGGCTGCAACATCCCTAAAACCCTATTACCAAACATTTATACAGCATTTACTACGAGCCAGACAATGTTCAAAACACTTTATTTATATTAATTCATTTATTCCTCCCTATCAGCCTCTAAGACAGGAAACTATTATTACCTCCACTTTACAGAAGAGAAAATTTAGGCTGAGAGACTTCGAGTGGCCTTCCCAACATGACACACCTAGAAAGTGGCTGAGCCTTTCAGCCACCAAATACCAAGTCCTTATAGCCTCCGAGAGTTGGTTTTAGGTCTTCGACTCTAGTTAAAGACAATATCAAGCATAAACGTTTTGTGGCTCCTCTGAGAAGCGGTATTTCACCGATGGCAACTTTCAATTTACTAGAAATACTAAGCACATATATTATTCAGCTTCTTGAACAAATGGAAATTTACTCAGCTGCAGTTCTGCCTCTGTTCTCTACTGCATTTTTTTTCTATCAGGGTTACTTATGCCACTTCCCAGAACCTTGTAGAGCTGGGTCTTAACACTGTTGAGACTCATGACTGATAACGCCTGACAAAGTCCATTGGTTAACAACTATATTTCACAACAGAGAATACAACACAACAGAGGATGTGTGTTGGCATCGCAAAGTAAGTTGAGTATATTAATTAATGAGGAACCCAAGATAAACACTTGTTAAGCTATAAACAAAATCATTTCTGTCAGCTGATTAAAAGGATGTGCATATAATGCACTGAGGCTGCACATGATACGTGTTTGACTGTTGGCATGTTTGTGTGCAAGTTATGTGACACCTAGATCATTGAAGTTAGAATGATAAATTCATGCGGACTTTTAGAATGTTGTGAAGAAAATATTGCCAAGGTGTGGTTTTCTCAACTGATCTTAAGAACACATGTTTCAGTAAGCAGCAAAGTCAAGAAAATCTCCCCTGGACTGTGACTCCAGGATATACTTTTCATTAACCTTTGAAACGCATTCTAGCCTAAGTATCATTTGGCTCTTTTTCATGTTTTGATAGACTTTATCAGATAAACTAAACTCTGAGATGCTTGAAGTTGCTGGAATTCTGAATAGCCGAAGGCTAACTTAACCCTATTGTCTAGCATTAGCCTACTCAGCTCTCAAATAGACAATAAAAACATTGTTTTTGACATCTTCTATCAATCTGCTCTGAGATTTTGAACATTTCATGTAATTCAGCGCACTTGTCCAAGAAAACAAGATTTCAACTACTGAGAACTGAATTTCCAATACTCTTGGGAAATTATTCACTGTCCAAGCAGCCTTTAAATAGGAGCCAGTGACCAACATAAAATCGCCTAGTCTAACATGCTACTAAACAGTGTCTGTTCCCTAATAGGTTTACAAGCAGTTCATTATCACTCCTTGTGAGTAGCTGAAAGTCAAGGTGAATGAAAACCACTAATAGTTGAACAGATGAGAGAAAGATATTTCTTCCTTGGGGTTTTCTGTTAGGAGAATGTTATGTTTCTTGCAAAGGAAACATACTTCAAGATATACGTTTGAAAGAATTAAGGACACTTCACAAAAGCTCTATTCAAAACCTATGGTCTCAAGTTGACCAGAGAACCTAGGTAAGGTAGACAATAAGAGCACCCCCTTTCATTCAAACCTCCTACTCAAACATGTTGCCAAGGACTAGCAGATGGTGTTAAGCTGACTTAGAAATTACCTAGTCTTGTCCAAAGCATCTCAGCATAATTCAAGGCAGTAAAAAAGGATACAAATCAGTGAAAGATCAAGGATTGATTTAGTCAGAAATGTCAGACTTGAGTCTCAGAGTCTCTGCATAACAACGGTTTATATCCTGTTCATACAAATCCAGATGTGAGCAGGGTGACTGCAGGCTACCTCTCTCCCATGCGTGAGCTGGCAGGGGTGAGTACATTCTCCTTGGCCTCCAGGATTACTGCAGCAGGGAGGAAGACATCCGGAAGGCTGCGCATTGGCTCTTAAATGTTTTAACACAGCAGTAACACACATCACTTCCTCTCACAGTCCACTAGACTTAACTAACCACATGCCTCTGCCTAAATGCAAGGGGCTGAGAAAAATGTATCATAAAATGGAGATTTGGTAAGCAGTACAAATCTCTACTACAAGAGTGAGAGAGGCATGATGAGTCCAGTAGCTACTTTAGGGTAGTGCTCAGATGCCTTCTTTTTTGAAAAAGGTTGAGAAGAAATAATGCTCAGTGATATCACCTGAAAACTTATTTTGCTAAATTGTTAACATATGCTGACTCCGATAGACTATATAAATATAAATATTTTATTTTATAAATATTTTATAAATGAATGAATTGACACTGCAATATAGAGACCCTTGGTTAGTAAGGGGGCACATGAGTCAGTGTTTTTCCTTATTTATACGGGGGGTGCCAAAAAAATGTATACACATTTTAAAAGATGGTCAATGTTGCTCAAGCAGTAGTTCATTGTAATCAGAAGTGTCTGGATGCTGATGGTAACCATTTTGAGCACCTCTTGTAACTGCAGAAGTCAAATGTGACTTGTATTCATCTTTTGTTTTCAGTATATCTTGAATATTACAATTTCAATAGTTTTTTTCCCCTTTCTTAAAATGTGTATACATTTTTTTGGCACCCTCTGTAGACTACACTGATGTTTTCTGCCCTGAATCAAAATATACCTGAGTAACACTTCTTTCCTTGACAGAAACCATTTGTTCATTTGTTTCTAATTTTCATACAGACACTAACAATTTTTAAAATAGTATAAGTTAACGCAGGCATGTAGGTTCATGTGGTATGAGGAGAAGGAATTGAGTAAGGGCACAATCAGGCTGCCACAAAATTTATCTTAATGATAAAAACTAAATTTCCAGGCCACGCCTCATGGTCTTCTATACCATCACTATACCCTACTTTTTTCCACTTTATCCCCAACTTTCTACCATCATAAGCTCTCCCGTCTTCTTTGACGAGTTCATTTGCAGACCTATTAATTTCCCTCTTCATTTCTGCTTCCTCTTTTGCTTCCCTCCTTCTGCAAAGTCCTCTTCCTTGTCTTTTCTTCCTCCCTCCTTGCCCACCCCCTTCACTCCCTTAGGTTTGTTTGGCACCTTGCACTTGAATGGCAGCTCTCCTCTCTACATAAGAAGTCCTCCCCAAACGCCTCCAGGAGTGTTTCTGTCCACTGGTGTGTGGCTCTTGCGTCTATCCCTTATTTGACTGTCATATAAACTACCTTGTATTGTTAATTAAGTCTCCTTGACATTTTAAAAAATGCATATCGCTGCCCTTTTAATTCTGCTTTATTTCAATCCTAGAAGCCACTGGTTTCTATCAAATACATTAATTATTTTTTTCATAGTATTTTGAATTCAAAATGAATACAAATAAAGGACAAAAATGTTAAACCATGTAAGAGCATAGAATGCACTTCTAATAAGGCTGCCATATTGTCAAATTGTTTCAAGAGGTATTAGCTATTGACACTCCTACCACTGTCTAATTCCCTATACCATCAGCAGCACTGTGTATTATTTACTTGTTTAACGTCTGCCCCACCCAACTCCAATTAATCTGTAAGCTCTAGAAGGGCAGGGGCCATTTTCTTTCGTATTTACTGCCGCACTCTCCATCTGGTAGCCAGTACTTACTTGTTCCATAACTATTCATCGACTAAATGAAAAAATGAGGTATGTACTATAGAAAATGGAAAAGTGTGCCGATGCTTTACTTTTATGTGTATTAACTCCTGTGTTCCAAGCATTGAAATCTTATCTACCTGGCTTACTGTTTCCCTGTTTTGAAAGTAGGTCATTGGTAGTAAAGGTTGAATGAATGACTAAATGAAAGAATGGTTAACAGTTTATTTTCCTAACTATTCTGATTAGAGTTTGCTGAAATTAGATCTTTGAAATAAAAATAACACACACTTTGGATAGGGAACCCTGACCTGTCGCCTTCTGGCTGTGGAATATACTGGACAGACCTTCTCACTTTTTGGAACCTCAGTTTAATCACCAATAAAATGAAGATTATGACTGAGATTCCCCTTACAGTGTTGCTGCAAGAATTAAATAAAATCATCTCTAGAAAGGTGCTTTGACAACTGTGGAAAACTGCGATGTGTCAATATCAGTCTTCAAATAGGATTTCTTCACCACACAGGACTACTTGTGTAGTGCTTCTCATTCACTAAGAGCCCCAAGTTCACCTGCTGGGGAGCCATCTGCCAACCTGCAGCAGCATACAGAGATTCCACCAAGAAGACATTTGGCCGAACCCAGGCGACAGAGCGCCGGCTATTTCTGAGGTCAATGTGAGCACTCGAATTCCAGCCGTGGTCTCTAGAAGTCACAATTCCACTGACCGATGATGTCCTTTGCCTGAGCTCCCACACTCTCTAGGATGACATCCCCGACTGCTGGATAATTTGAAAAGGCATGCATTTTACAAAAGAAAACTCCGCCAGAGAGAGGAAAATACACGCT